ACTCCGCTCAGCATGCCACTGCACAGGGCGCGGCCAGCCTCAGCCCAGCTCTGAAAGTGGCTCCCAGACCCCTGGCTGCCCTGTGCAGCTCTGAAAGTGGCTCCCGGACCTCTCACTGCCCCATCTGGCTCTGAAAATGGCTCCCAGGACACCTCGCTGCTTCAGACTTGGCCTCTAGACACACAGCCCAGCCTAGAAGAGGCTCTGGGAAAGGCCAGAATGGCCTGCTGCAGCAGCCCAGCTTAGCAAGGCCTCCTCAAGAAAGTGACACAGAGTAGGGGCCTCCAGGGATGACTTTAACAAGCCGAAGGAGATGGGAAGGGCGGCCCAGGCAGGGGCAACAGTGTGATGCCGCAGCAGAAAGGGCCCGGAGCCGGCAGTGCTGTGGGGCAGGCCCCAGGCAGTGAGTGCCGCCTGGGGGTTGGACTCTACCCCAGATGTGCTCCTGAGGAAGTCACTCAAGCTGCCAGGCTTCAGCTTCTCTGTCTGTAAAGTGGGGCTAAGGGTGGACACAGGGATTCCGCCAGGTGTCACATGCTCGGCTGGGCGGGTCAGTGACTGGGGCCCCGCAGGCGTTTGAGCAGGGGATGCCGTGTTGGATTTGCGTTGGAGAGAGCAGGTGCCAGCTCCAGGTGTGAGGCTGGGTGACAAGAAGGAAGCAGAGAGCCAGGAGTCCTGGGGTGTTTGGGGACCAGTGCCGTGCCAGCACCCAGGTTTCTGCTGTGCACCCAGCGCCAGGACTGTGGCCTCCTGGGCTGCCGGGCTGTAACTGGATTTGCTCAGCAGCTGCCTGTGCTAAGCAGGCCCACTTGACGCAGCCACAGCTGGCCAGTAATTGGTGAAATTAGCAAGTCGGCGGGGACAGAGGTCAGGTGGTTAATGCTGTAGTGGGGGCTTTGATGAAGTTAGTCCCAGGGAAGGACTGGAAGCTGGGGTTTGACCTTCTGTGTGTCACGGGGCTCTCCTGCCCTGCCTGTAACGTGGTTAGGGGACCTCCAGCTGCCGGCTTGTCCCAGGGCTCTCAGAGGCAGAACCCAGGGAGCTGCAGCTTGGCCTGAGCCTCAAGATACAGCCACAGCGCTAAGTTGCCGACTGTGTCCTCTAAGCCAAGACACATGCAGAAGCCAAGGGGGCTTTTCAAGCCCTAAAGATCTTGGGGTGATGCCCCTTGGCTTCCTGGAAGAGGCCTTCAGCAGGCTCCCCTTGGAGAAAAGCAGCAGGCCACCTCCCCGCCTCTGCATCCCTCGTGAGTGCCCCTCAGACCAACTCTGCATCTGGAAATGGGATGAGTTCTTCACTGGGTGTTCCCCTTATTCAATCGAGCCTCACCCTCCCCTCTAGGTTAAAGGCCTCCCAGTGTCTTCTCCTGTCCTGAGCTCCAGAGAGTGTCCTCTGAGCATGGTCCTTGGTTCCCACTCTTCCCTGGCACAGTGCTCCTACCTTCTTTCATTATATATCATTTATTGGGCACCTACTAGATGCCATGAGCTGGGCTGGGAGTTGGGATGCAGAAGTGAGCAAAATCTGACCAGAGCCTAGTCCAGTTGGTGCTCAGGACACCTTCTGTGGCCATGCCACACCTCCCTGCCGCAGCCAGGGAGCCAGAGACCCTGTCACTGACCATCCTTTAACCCTCAAACCTGGAATCACCTCCTTTTTGGCTTCTATTCCAACCCCAAGGAACAAGGAATTGCCACCTGCTGGTCCTTTATATAGACGCACTCAAGCACTTAAGCGCGTCTCCCTGGGCTGTCACTGCCAGCATCATCATCATCACCACCATTTTAAAGGCAGGTCCTTTGGAGTCAACACCTGGGGTGATATTCTAGCACAGCCACTTGCCAGCTGTGTGACTCTCTCCTCTCCAGACCTTAGTTTCCTCTTGGATAATGTGGGGTCAATGACCCCTGTCTGGGAGGGTTGTGGACAGTTGTGGGCATTGAATGGAACCATGCATAGCCACCTTCCTGGCCTTCTTGCTGTTCTCCAAACAGGGGCAGCCCTGTTCCTGCCCCAGGCTTTTGCACTTGCTGTTCCCTCTGCCCAGAACGCTTTTTCCCCAGATAGCCTCATGGTCCAGTGCCTCACCTTCATTCCAGTTCCTGATAGATGTCACCCCCTCAGAAATGGAGGCCACTCTGTTTTTTTTGTGTGTGTTGTTTTGTTTTGTTTTGTTTTTGAGACAGAGTCTCGCTGTGTCGCCCAGGCTGGAGTGCAGTGGCATGATCTCGACTCACTGCAAGCTCCGCCTCCCGGGTTCACGCCATTCTCCTGCCTCAGCCTCCCGAGTAGCTGGGACTACAGGTGCCCGCCACCACGCCCGGCTAATTTTTTTGTATTTTTAGTAGAGACGGGGTTTTACCATGTTAGCCAGGATGGTCTCGATCTCCTGACCTCGTGATCCACCCGCCTTGGCCTCCCAAAGTGTTGGGATTACAGGCGTGAGCCACCGTGTCCGGCGAGGCCACTCTGTTGGGTGTTGAGTGACTCAGCACTCCCCTGCCCACTCCCTGAGCCCCCTTCTCAGTCAGCTCACCTGCCCATTTCCTCTCCGGCATTCATTGCTAGTGGGGACCATGTTCTGCACACCTGTTTCTCATCTGTCTCCCTCAACTAGAATACTAACCGCATGAGGGTAGGGGTCTGCCTGTTTTGTTCCTAGCTGTATCTCCAGTATCTAACAGGTGCTCAATCAATATTTCTTGAATTGCATCCAATTAATAGTGCCTGACACATCTGTGAGTTTGAGATTGTTTCAAAGTAAAATGTTACTTTTTTTGAGGCAGAGTCTTGCTCTGTTGCCCAGGCTGGAGTACAGTAGCATAATCTCAGCTCACTGCAACCTCCGCCTCCTGGGTTTAAACAATTCTCCTGCCTCAGCCTCTGGAGTAGCTGTGGTTACAGGCACTCGCCACTATGCCCAGCTAATTTTTATATATATATTTTTATTTTTAGTACAGATGGGGTTTCACCATGTTGGCCAGGCTGGTCTCGAACTCCTGACCTCGTGATCCGCCCGCCTCAGCCTCCCAAAGTGCTGGGATTACAGGCGTGAGCCACCCGCACCCAGCCTCAAAGTAAAATGTTATTTTAAAAATGCATACTTTTTAAAGATTGGCACTCGGTAGGACTCAGGTCATCAGAACAGAGTCCCCTTTCCTTTTTAGCACAGGCACCCTCCCATGACGTGGAGCTCACTCACCCTCTGAGGGGGTCAGCCTGGCTCTGACTTGGGGAAAGCTCTGGCTCCACATGGCTGAGATCTGCTCCCTGGGATCCTGCCCCCACCCATGGATGCCAGGCCTGAAGATGAGTGGGCACTCACCAGGGAGCGCAGCCTGTAGAAAGGCCCTGGGGCTGCAGGGTGTGTGGAGCAGTGGAACAACTGGGGAAGCCAGCACGGTGGGAGGTCAGAGGCAGAGGGCCAGAGGCAGATGGGTGGGCCCAGGCCACCAGGCCCTCATGGTGAGGATGAGACATGCAGTCCTTATGCTTAGAGGGGGGAGCCTGGTTTAAAGCCACCAGGCAATGCGATTGAACGTGAGTTTGGCACAGCTGTCCCAGGAAGAACCTATGTGGGTGGGTAGAAAGGGGAAGCCTGAGAACTGGAACAGCAAGGCCTGTGCAGATGGCAGGGGCCAGCAGTAGAGAATGGATACAGGTCAGGGTTGGGTTTGAGGTAATCAGGACAGGGCAGCCACGTTATTTGTCAACCCAGATGGTGGGCACAGGAGAGATGACAGACCCCCATGCAGAACCACCCCTGGCTTCCTGATGGAAACAGCGCAGGCCCTGGAGGCAGCATCCACACCCTCCTTCATGTCCACTAGGCTGGAGCTGGCCCCACATCCCCACAAAGCTGGGCAAGCTGTTCCATGAACTCACTTGGCACATTTATTAACCATCGGGCTATGTCTGCGGCCCCATGTGTTTGCTGCCCCGTTCATGGTGGTGACAGAAGGAAGGCAGAGCCAGGTGGCCGGCGCCTACTTGCTATCCATCCATTTGAGCTGCTCCTTGCCATTCACAGTCACCGACTTGAGCTGCCCATCTTCCTCCACCTCCACACGCTCCTGCCCGTTCTCCACGATGCGCTTGGTGGTGACCTTGTGGCCATTGATCATCTCGGTGGACGACATCACCGACTTGAACCCCGAGCTGCCAGAGCCGGAGCCCCCGAAGGAAGTGGATGAGAAGGTGGTGTGGCTGCCCCCGCTGCGGCCCAACGTGTTGAAGGATGAGAAGGCCTCCATGAAGGCTGGGAACTCTCCAAAGCCCGCCGAGAAGGCCCCCCGCAGGCCATGGCCCCGGCCACCACGGTCACTGTTGAATGGGCTGTCCCAGAACTCAAAGGAGAAGGGGTCCAGGCCACCGAAAAACTCCCGGAAGATGTCCTCAGGGTTACGGAAGGTGTAGCCGGTGTCAAAGGGGCTGCCGTAGGGCGTGCTGGCCCCGCCGCCAGCCCGCCAGCTGTCACAGCCCGCGCGGTCGTACAGGGAGCGCTTCTTGGAGTCGGACAGGACCTCGTAGGCCTCAGACACCTGCTTGAACTTCTTCTCAGCTTCCTCCTTGTTGTCGGGGTTCTTGTCGGGGTGCCAGCGAAGGGCCAGCTTGCGGTAGGCTTTCTTGATGTCCTCCGGGGAAGCGCTGGCCTGCACGCCCAGCACTTCGTAGTAGTTAGCCATGGCCAGGGGTGTGGGTGAGAGGAGAGGGGACGTGGAGGCCAGGTGGGCTCAGGGGCCCAGCTGGTCAGATGGACGGTGGAGAGAGGTGGCCGGTGGTCTGGGGCCCTTCAGCAGGGGCCTGGCTGGACTCCTCAGGCTCCAGGCAAGATTCTGCTGGGGAGTTCACCTTTTCATAGTACCAGTTCTCAGGGACTGGAGGGGCCCCCACTGAGAGGGGTGGGGGGAGGGGAGGGACACTGCCGCTGTGGGGCCAGGTCAGGGTGGGCTGCCCTCCAGAGCTCCCTTTATGACATCAGCTCTCAGGGCGTGGCCTACCCCCGCCCCCAGCTCTGCACCAGGCAAAGCTGGGCATATGGGCCTGCCCCTGTCACTGAGGCGGCCATAGCGGTGGGTGGGAACGGGATGCTCTGTGACTCAGGTGGTGTGAGCTGAGCCCCAGGAGCCAAAGGGCAGAGGCAGGATTGGCCATGAGATTCTAGCCTTGGTGGGTGACAAAGGTCCGTGGCCGTGGTGGGGGAGGTGGGCGAGGGCCTTCTGGGTATGTCCACTCTGCCGATGGCTAGGCAGCGGCTAAGGCAAGAGGAGGCCAAGGTGGGATTCAGGCAGGCTGGGGTGGGGAAAAGAGTCTGCTTTTCTCGTGCCCATTATCTGGCCAGGTCTTCCGCAGTAAGCTCCACAAAGGCAGGAAAGTCTGTCCCTGTCTAGGACAGTGGCTGGCATACGAGGGCCATCGGTAAACACTTGGATGAACGAGGCTCAGAGACACGCAGTGCTCAAGGTAACACAGCGAGTCAGTGAGGGAGGGGATGTGAAACCAGGGCCAAGGCTGCAGCGGACAGCAAATCCAAAGAAGCGTTCCGCTCAATTCTGGTAAGAAAAATAGGGATTGATGATAAATATCGATTACTGAGTGTAGCAGGTTGAATGGTGGCCCCCAAAAAAATACGTTCCTGTCCTAATCCTTGGAACCTCTGAATGTGAGCTTATTTGGAAAAAGGATCTTTTCGGATGTAATTAAATTAAGGATGTTGAGATGAGATCATCTTGGATTATCTAAGTGGCCCTAAATCCAGTGACACATGTCCTTATAGGAGGTGGACACTGATGCAGCCAGAAGCTGGGGGCCAGGGGGGGCTCTCTCTGCAGCCTCCAGAGGGAGTGCAGCCCTGCTAACACCTCGATTTCAGATCCCTGGCCTCCAGAACTGGGGGGAAGAGATTTATTTTGTTTTAAGCTACCCAGTTTGTAATAATTTGTAACAGCCCTAGAAAACGAATCAGGTGAGTGAGGTAACCAAATATTCTTAGGCATTTATATTCCTTTAATTCTTGTTCTGGTGTTGGATCATATATAGAAACAGCAATTCACAATACTGATTAATATCTGTTCCTACCTTCACCTCACCCCACTCCGGTTAAGATCAAAACCATGCTAAACCACCTACTAACCACACCAATAAAGAGCCTAGATGTTTGGGGTCACCAAGTCTTAACTAAAGATAACCTGCCTGCTTTCTTTCCTTCCTTCCTTCCTTCCTCCCTTCCTTCCTTCCTTCCTTCTTTCCTTCCTCCCTCCCTCTTCCTTTCCCTTCCCTTCCCTTCCTTCCTTCCCTCCTCCCTTCCTCCCTTTCCCACTCCTTCCCTCCTTTCTTCCTCCCTACCTCCCTTTTTTCCTTCCTTCTTTCCTCTTCCTTCCTCCCTTTCTCCTTCCTTCCTTCCTTCCTTCCTTCTTTCCTTCCTTCTTCCCTCCCTCCCTTCCCCCTTCTCCCTTCCCTCCCTTCTTCACTCCTGGCATTTTTCCTTCCTCCTTCCTTCCTTCATTCCTCCCTTCTTTCTCCTCTTCCTTTTTCTAGTCTTTATCCCTTTCTATTATCCTCCCTCTCTCTTTCTCTTTTCTTCCAATGCCCATGGGTGCTAGGTTTCAGGCTCCTAGCAGGGGATAGTATGTTCTAACCAATCCCAAATGCCAGGAGGGATGGAGACAGACTGTAGAGACACTTTGCAAACCCAGCCTTCAGTGACCATCGCTGTCTCTCCATGCAGCTTATCGAGAGCATGACTCACCCCCCGTGCCGGGCATCCACCCACCTACACCTGCTGACACATGTGGCTTGGCAGAGGAGTTGAAGAGCAGAACTTCTCTACTGGATGTAACTACAGATGAACCTGGTTCTTTATCTCTGTGGCTGGATTTTTGTCACTATGTCTCTGTTACTAGTTAGCACCTGCTGTCCCTTGCAGGCTTGTCCACTGGGGCAGGAGAAAGATGCTTGCCCTGCCCAGTTCTCCATGATGGCGGTGGCAGTGGGAGAGGCGCTGCTGTTGACTGTGGTGCCCGTGGGGAGAGGCACGGTGGGTGTCCATGGAGATGGATAAGGTGTCATTAAATAGTAGAGGTGACCATGGTAGCAGTGTTGGTGTGGAGGTAGTGGTCATGGTGGGGGTGAGGGGGAGAGTAATTATGGGTGATGCTGGACTTGGTCATGGTGATGGTGATGCTGGTGGAGACAGCAGCAAGATTTGTGCTGGAGAGTAACTGATGATGGTAGTGGTGGTGGGGATGGTCATGCCAGAGGAGATGGTAATAGTGAGCCTGTGTTGTGGTTGGCAGTGATGGTGCAGGTATGATGAGGAGGTGATGGGAATGGCTCCTAGTGAGCCCTTGGTGTGGTTGGCAGTGGTGACAATAATGGTGACGATGAAGGTGAAGATGGTGGAAGTAGCAGAGGTTGTATCTTTTTGGCTCTGCCACAGTGACAGCTTTCACCTCTCAGTGGTTCACGACGTTCACGACAAGCATCTGGTTCCCCCGACTTCGCTCGCTGGTGCCTGCAGGCAGTTGCCAGGGCCCCGCCTCCCGTAGCTTCTCACTACGGGTCCCAGGCTGGAGGAGCAGCTCTGACCCACACACTCTTCTCTCATGAGGGTGCCACTCAGAGCCAGCAGGAACGTGCTGCCTCTGAAAGCTTCTGTTGGTCCATGATGTGTGGCACTCTTGCTGCATCCCATGGTCAAGGCCAGCATCTGTGGGGCAAAGAATGTTTCCTTCAGGAAGGTTCTGCAAATCTCAGGGCAATAAGGAGAGAGGCCTGAGATTCCCATGGGGAAGAGGGAGTGAGCAGTTCTCCAACATATGCCAGATGCTAATGGCGGGACTGACCGGGGATGGTAACGATGGCTTTGCTGGGAGCAGTGTCGGTGCTGCTGGTGCCGGGGTCACCAGTGGTGGTGATGGGGTAGGAGGCAGGAATTGTGCTATTAATGGAGGATGGTGGTGAGGGTGGTTGTGGAAGAGGCAATGGTAGAGGGGGGTGCTGAGTGGTGAGAAGGACGCAGTGGTGGAAATACTGATGTGAATGCCGATGGCGATGGTAATGGCACTGACGTGTGGGGCTCTGTATTTTCTGTTGCTAACTTGGCATTACACCAACCTCTTCTATGGTCTCCTTGCATCCTGGAGAAATCTGAGGGATTTTCCAGAATCCTGTCACCAGTATAGTTCCAGGTTAGAGCCTGCCATTACACGAGATTTGGAGAGTGGAAAAGAGAGGCCGTTGCAGGCAGGTGACAATGGAGAGCTTTGCAACAGCTCAGGGCAATCTTCTGCGAAGCCCCTGCTTCCAAGCCACAGGCTGAGGCATGGATGGGGGGCTTCCTGGAATACCATGAGCTCCTCAGCAGCTCCCAGGCAAGCTCTAGAGAGCTGCTCACCTGGAAGCTGCAGGTGACCATCTCAATTCCTTGTTCCCTGACCGCTGGTCCCAGACTGTTCAGGGTGCAGCTTGTAGTAAATGTCCTCCTCCTTGGTACGCATTTGAGGGCTTTGTACTGTGAGGGTGATGGCAGCTCAGATGAAGTTGGTGGTAGTGGTGGAGGTGGGTGTGAGGATACCAGTGAGGAAGCAGATGGTGGCATCAGGGAGGCATTGGAGGGGCAGTGGTGGTGGCGGTGGTGGTGGTGGCAGTCTAATTAGAGACAGTGGTGGGTCTGGCTGAGGCAGACCCAGTGGTGGTGATAGAGGAGGCGATGACGGTGGTGATGGCGAAGGCGGTGGGAGTGGTGGTACTGGCGGCGGTAGAGATGGCAGTGCTGATAAGGTGATGTCGCAGGTGGGATGGTGGGTGGAGATGGAGGTGGAGGAAGTGTGGTGACAGTGATGTGGTGGTGACACAACGCTGACACGGGTGGACAGCACCATGGTGACGGTGACGGAGATGATAGTGATAGTGGGGATGGTGGCGGTGGTAGAGGAGATGGGGACGGGACACTGCGGTGTTGATGGTGATGGTGACACTGCTGAGGGTATTGGTGGCCTGACATTGCAAAGGTGAAGCCTGAAGTTTCCATGATGATGGAATCAGGACAGTGGGGGAGGGGGTGGTGACAACAATGTTAAGAGACAAGGGACCTAGCATAACAAGGCATCTGAGAATCCTGTGGCCGCCTCCCCGTCCCGGCCCTCCCTGCCCTGTTGGAGACTCTGGCTCTGGTCTGCACTGTACTCCCAGGGGAACTTTCTTCCAGCCACTGCCCTGCTCCGACCCCTGTTCCTGGGATGGGTCTGTGGGAGTCAGCCAGGATGGAGACAGGCCTAGAGACCCCCTCACTGCTGCCCATTCAGGGCTGTCTTAGGGCACACAGAACAGACCACTTGTTAGGACTTACAGGAACAGGTGTGTCACCTGGGAACAGATCCCGCCCCTCACCATCAATGCCATCCTGAGATGGAGGCCCCTGTGGGGAGCTCCCCATGAAGGCTGCTGTGGACCGTGGAGCTGGGCAGCGTGCAGAGGAATTTCCCTTCTACAAAGGGTTCAGGCTAGTCTCCTTCCACGCCAGCGTTTGGGGAGCCAAGGGGGAGCAGCAGGGGCTCTGAGGCCTCCATGGGGCCTGCTGGAGGGACAGGGACACACAGGTGTGAGTGCACACTCAGGCCCCACATGGTCCACCCTCGATGCTGTCAGGCCACCTTCCCTCTTCAAGCCTCTCTGTCCCCATTCACCAGGGGATGCTTTTAGGGCTTTACCCTCTCCGGGGAGCCATCCTAGCCTTCCTGGCCTCTGATGTCCCATGTCCCTCATCTCAGGCCCACCCTAAAGCCAACCCCGAGCCATGGCCAGGGAGAGAAGGACCTTCAGCAACCAAGCGAGGCCCAGAGAGGGCAGAGCATACCCAAGGTCACACAGCAGTACCAGGAAGGTCTCCCCGGGGCGAGCTGATGGAGCCGATTAAGCAGCCAATTGGTATTCAGAGCAGCCAGAGGCCCCTCTCTGTCTCTGTAATTAATGGAGTGGCTTTTTAAAAGGATTCTAATCACCCCCGATCCTATCTGCTTATCACTAGAGTTCCTAATTAGATGATCCTGGCAGTCACTCAGCTAATTCCCTCCAGCCCCCTGCAGCCCTGCCTGGCCTGGGCAGCCCACCCCACCCCCGGCCACCCTGGCCCGGCCAGATGGGCAGTTTGGGGCCTTCTCTCCCCTCAGGGCCCCTGGTCCTCTAACTGCATTAGCTCCAGGATGGATGGGCGACAGCGATGGATGGATGGACGGGCGGCTGGATGGACAGAGTGGCAGGTGAGTGAAGGGGCTGAATAGTGGGCAGCCACAGAGTGGATGGGCGGATGGACAGACAGACGGGCTAAGAGGCAGATCCCACAGTGGGGAAGAGCTCAGCCTGTCAGGTGACACAGCCTGGGCTCCAACCCCAGCACTGCCACTCCCCAGCCATGTGTCCTTGGGGAAGTCATATAACCTGGCTGTGCCCCAGCATCCTCATCTCATCTGTAAAAGGGAAGTAATGATGGTCCCCTCTCACAGGGTTACTGTGGGGAGGTCAGAATGGAGAAGGAGCTGTGTGTGCATGTGTTGGCATCCTGGCAGCGTTGATAATGGGTGGGCAGAGACAGATGAAAGGGCAGCCTGCCTGGTGAGCCATTGGAAGGTATGATAGGCAGACAGCCCCATGGTCAGGCTTACATGCAGGCTCACATGCAGATTGGTGGCCGATGGGGTGGGAAGGTAGTGGGCTACGCAACCATAGAAGGGTCAGTGAGCTCACATCCTCCCCAGTGGTGCCAGGGCGATCTCAGCTCAGCTCTCAGACCTCTTCAGGCAGCCTTCCTGCCCAGTCCTCCAAGCCAGTGATGACAGGTGCCCAGTGGGTTCCCCAGATTCCTTCCCTGCCATCCCAACCCAAGTATACCCTTCCTGGTGGTGGCCCATGTGGTCTCTGGAGGCTCAGATCTAGCCCCAAGTAGGGATTTACTGCCTGAGTGAAGGCATCATTTGTGGGGCCTTCTGAGTTCCAAGTTGCTTCAACCAGTTAGGGTAGCTCCCCTCCTCAAGGGTCCCAGCTCCCAGTTCCCCTGGCATGGAGCAACCCTAGGCAGGGCTGTGACCCTGAGTTTCTCAGTTACTCGAAGCCTCCAGGAGGATCCAAACCCCAGAGCCTCTCCATTCACCCACAGGGCTCTGCAGTTTCTGGGGTGTGGAGTTTCCTGGGTCTTTTTTGTAGGACAAAAAAGCCTGAAGTATCTTCCAGAGTAAAGGCGTGCATGCATATGAACACATCTACACCAGCAGATAGCCACCCATCTCCTCATGCACCTACCCATCAATCCACCCACCTACCCACCCACCTAGCCACCCAGCCACCCAGCCACCCACACGCCCAGCCACCCAGCCACCCAGCCACCCACACGCCCAGCCACCCAGCCACCCGGCCACCTACACGCCCGGCCGCCCACCCGCCTGACCACCCAGCCACCCACCCACTCAGCCACCCAGCCACCCACACACCCAGTCACTCACACACCCAGCCAGCCAGCCACCCACACATGTTTCCTGAGCACTCGTCCACACACATGCCGTGTGCCAGGCGCTCCCCTGGGTCTGGGGGTCCATATGTCAGTGAAGGCACTAGACAGAGCCTTGCCCTTATGATACTGACATGCAGTTGGGGAGATAGGAGAAAGTGATAATGCATGAACATTTAGCATGATGGCAGGTGTCATAGATGCCATGAGGGAAAACAAAGCAAGATGGGGGCTTACAGGAAGCTGGGGCTCTTAGGGAGGTCAGATTGGGTGCCCCACACCTCCACAGGCATGCTGAGACACCCATGCCCCTATGCATGTGAGCACACCTGTACACATGGTCCCACATGTGCACACAGGCCCTCCATGAGGCCTGTAGCCCTGCTGTGTCTCCAAAAGTGTGGGCCCTGCTGTCCCTCACTGGGAGATCTGGCTGCCTCATGCCTCTCTCAGCCTGGGCCCTCCCATGACCCAAGTCAGGCCTGCTTCCTGGAGCCCAGGGCACATCTGGGTTTTACTAGGTCAGCTAGCAAAGGGCCTGGGCAGCTCTTATGTAGCCAACAATTCAGATTCACAATTCTTCCCTGCGCTGGTCTGAGTGGGGGCTGGAAACAGTTGAATTCAGCAGCATCACCCCTGTCCTCCCACGCAGGGAGCTCCCAACCCCAGGCTCTGGGAGAAGGAGCAGACACACACCAATGTGCGAATGCAGCTGCAACACTCGCTGGAAGGAGAGGTGACACTGTCTGGGGTGTCTGGGAAGGCTGGTCAGAGGAGGTGACACCTTGGCAGCACTTGGAGAGGGAGGTTCCAGCAGGGTCAGCCTCACACACATGAAGGCTCTTGGATGTCGACACTGGACATCCTTCCCCAGGGAGGTAGTTCGTTCAGTCATGGAACATTTCAAGGTGGGAAGAAGGTGTTCATCACATGGCTATGATCATGTGCCCATTTGCAGACCACCCTGTCCTGGGCGCATGAGGATTTCATCTCCTAAATCAGTGGTTCTCAACAGGGACAGTCCTCCCTCCCCAGAGGACATTTGGCAATGACTGGAGGAGTTGCTACTGGCATCTCCTGGGTGGAGGCCAGGCAGGGCTTCTGCTGAGCATCCCTGTCTAGTGCACAGGACAGCCTCCACCACAAAGAATCATGCAGCCCCAAATGTCAACAGCAGCAAGGTTGAGAACTCTGTTCTAAACCCTGAAATTATCATTTGACAAGCACAATTATAATGCAATGTCTTTTTGATGCACCAAAGGCATTAATGTCTTTAATGTGAATATTTAAAACACACAGGTGACCTGTTTGGTGATTTATTTCTTAATAAAGCAGAAGCCTTGTAACATGGGAGTGGTTCCATGCAAAGGGAACAGCATGCACCAGGCTCTGTGGCTCAGTGGAAAGAGCAGGCATCTGTAGTCGACTGCAGCTGGGACTGAAGGGATGATGGGAATAGAGCCCAGAGAGGGGCAGGGGCTACACCAGGCAGGGCTCAGACGCCAGGCCACAGAGCATGGATTGTGTCCTGGGAGGGGGAGACCTTGAGAAGATTTAAAGCAAGGGGAGGATGGAATCTGTAGTATGTTCTAGAAAGATCCCTCAGCAGCAATGAGATTCAGTTTTATACCCAAGAAATTGGTAAAAATGTCAGTTTGACATTGCCAAGTGTTGACAAGGAAATGGAGCAACTGAAATTCCCACACCCTGCTGGTGGGAACATACATTGGAACAACCAATTTGGAAAATCCTTTGGCCTTCTTTTTTTTTTTTTTTTTTTTTTCATTTTTTAGATGGGGTCTCACTCTGTCACCTAGGCTGGAGGGCAGTGGCATAATCACAGCTCACTACAGCCTCGACCTCCCAGGCTCAGGTGATCCTCCCACCTCTGCCTCCTGGGTAGCTGGGACTACAGGTGTGCACCACCATGCCTGGCTAATTTTTTGTATTTTTTTGGAGAGATGGGGTTTCACTATGTTACCCAGGTTGGTCCCGAATTCCTGGCCTCAAGTGATCCTCACACCTCGGCCTCCCAAAGTGCTAGGATTACAGGCGTGAGCCACAAGGCCTGGCCTTTTGGCCTCCTCTTGTAGACGTGAATGTGAAGTCTCTTGTCCCAGTAATTGCACTTCTAAGGCTTATATCCCCAGGGAAACCCTCACACGTGGGAATAGAGACAAGAACACTCACTGCTGCACTGTTTATGGTGGCAACAGGCAGGCATGACTGAAATATCCATCTTAAGCAGAATGAGCAAATACATTGTGTTACAGCTGCACAGCGGACTATGACACTACAGTGAGAACGAAGGAACCGACTCCATATGTGAGCATGGAGGAGCAGCCCCAGCACAGCAGTGAGCAACACAAGCCAGTCATTGAAAGCATCATTGTGACACCGTTTATAAAAAACATACAAACATGCAGAATAATGCATTAAGGATTTATACACCTAGAGTAAAAGTATAACAACATGCATGGGAAAATGAAGCCCTGGCTATCTCTGGAGGCGGGGAAAGGGGACAACAAGGTCAGGAGAGTTCTATGATCTCCGTGGTGTTTCCCTCTTAAGCTGGGCTGGGGAGGGTGTCAAAGGGACTTGACGCTGCCTCCATTGTCCTAACTCCTGGAGTTTGTGCCCTGGAGAGTGAGCAGGAGCGTGACCTGTGTGCAGCCAACAGCATACGCAAGGCGGGGGAATGTTATCGGGCCGTGCTTCACCAGTTCTCGACGCCTCCGTCAGCTGTGCTCTGTGCAGGAGTGAGCTGCCGAGACCCCTACAGCTGCAGGGAGATGAGCTCTGCCAGTAACCTGGAGGGGCTGGGTTGCAGATCCCTTCCTAATTGAGCCTCTGATGAGAAGCCAGCCCTGGTCGGCAGGTGGACTGCAGCCTGGCGAGGCCCTGGGCAGAGGCTGCGACTGAGCTATGCCTGGGATCCTGACCCATGGAAACCGTGGGATACCAAACACGTGTGGTTTCAAGGGGCTAGGTGTGTGGTGGTTTGTGATGTAGCATAGAAAATCAATACCAAGGCTACCATGGTGTTGCTTATATTATTAGCTATATTTTTAGATAACTGAAATATTTCATAATTAAGAGGTTAAGAAAGGCCCCTGTGGTGGCCTCACCTATAGGAAGAAGAGACAGAGTGCAGGGCATGGGTCTGGAGGCTGGGAGGCCCAGGAGGAGGCTGGCACAATGGAGAGGGGACAGGCCATGCCGTCCAAGGTGAGGAAGCAGGATGGGCTGGTGTCAGGGCTGGTGGGGTGTGTGTGTGTGTGTGTGTGTGTGTGTGTGTGTGTGTGTGTAGAAAGTCCCCTTCATCCCTAGATTCCGAGGAAAGGGGGGGGGCCATGCCAGCATCCCCTCAAAACCTGGGAAACCTGGATCCCGGCCTCACAGCATCAGAACATCGGAACAGCCAGACCTGGCAGGGGAGGGGCCAGGGAGAAGGAGCAGAGGCAGTATTTTCCCAGGGTCCCCTGGGGAGCCTGGCAGTATAGGCTGGGGCCAGGCGAGGAGGACAGATGGGGCTGTGGGAGGGAGCAGCTGCCGCTCCCCTCTCCAGGGATGCCCGCTCCCCAACTCCAGCCCGCATACCAGTGGGAGAGATCGTGAGACCCTCCCCCTATCCTTGCTCCCACCAGTCCTCAGTTTCCCTAGTGATACTGGACAGACGATCTGTGAGGACCCCCCTGAGTTGGGTGGGATAGAGAAAGACATGAGAACACCTACAAATAGCCTAGGGCACCCCACTGGCACTCCCGCCGGCCCTGGCAGCCTTTGGTTCTGTGGGAGAAGGAGGAACAGAAAAGGCAGGCAGTTTGCCCAGGGTCCCCAAACACCCTGGTCTTCTAAGAGTGGAGGTGGGCTTGGGGGCTCAGTCTGAAGCCCATTGGGCTACCCAGGATGAGCCTAGATTGGACGAATAAAATGGCGTTAGAAGTGTCTCCTCGCTGGGTGGCCTCTCCAAGAAACCTCCGTCTTCCTCATATGATCCTTCCAACAACCCTGAAAAATGTGGTCTTGACTGATGAGGAGCTGGGGTTCAGAGAGCCCAAGCCACTTGCTCGAAGCTGCACAGCAAGGGGGAGTCAGGTCTGTCCTTCAGACGGGGCTTTACCGTGAGCAACCTTGGTTAGGGACCAGGGAGGCCCTGAAGGGCCCCAGGGAAAGAACTCAAATAAAGCTTCCCTACGATCCTTGATCAGGGTTTTGAAGCGTGAAGAGAAATTCTCCAGGCTGATCTGAAGCACAGAACATCCCAGGGAGAGAGACCAGCTAGGAACAAGGCAGAGAAGACAGGTTTTTGTGAATGACTATGTTTTAAATTACACAAGTGGCATATACTCAGAACGTATCAAAACAACAGCCCACAGTTATAAAGGGAAAAGTAACGCCTCCACACCCTGGGTCTGCAGCACACTTCTCAGAACTCACAACTATCGTCATCCAGGTACATGTCTCCCCAGGTGTTTTTCTACCTCTACACAAATATTTTAAAAACAAAAACAGAGTCTGCTTTACATGTTGTTTTCCAGCTTGCTTATTTTCACGTATCCTAGTGTTTCTGTGAGATGTACGGGAAGAGGCTTGCTGGGCCAGAGAGCGTGCAAAACCTAGATCATTTCTGCCCATACAGGTATCTCCAGGCTGCTTCTCTACACCTGCCCAGTCTCTTCCATTTCTGCTGAGAGAGGGAAGTGGTGCCCCATGTGGAATGGGCATGGATCTGATCATTTGTGAGACTCAGCACCTGTCGGGATGTCTGGTGGCTGTGGATTCACATTGCTATTGAGGATGACCTCTTGTGTATCCTTCTGCCTGTTTCCTTCCACAGTGTGTTATGTGAATCTCCTAATTTGAAATCATCTGCAACTCATTCAAACTTTGTAAAGCCTCACGCTGCCCAAACACACTTGCCTGCTGTCTGGACAGAACAGTCAGTATTCACCAAGTGAGATGCTAACCAGCTAGTTGTTCCAACACCACTGGATTGGGTAACCCTCCACTTTTGCATTGATTCAGGATGCCTCCTTTATCACCCATTATCTTGTAAACAATAGGGTCTGTTGCAGGTTTACTGAATCTGTGCCATTGATCTGTTTATTCTTATAGCGGAACCACAAGGTTTGAACGATCGTGATAATAGAATCTTGTTTAATATCAGAAAGCATTCCCCCCACACACACACACACCCCCACACACACACCCTCAGTTTATTTTTCCTAATTTTTGACTTCTGCTGATCTTGTTAGTTTTTCCAGATAAAGTTTGGAATCATTTGCCATTTTGCCTTTAAAAAAACCCAGCAGAGCTTTGATCAAACCGTCCTGTATGATAACTCATTTAGGATCTACCCACCTCCTCCCCTGCTGCCCCTCATCTTTCCCGCTGCTCAGGTGATTCTGTCCCTGTGTCAAACGGATGGCAGGCATTCCCCAAGGGCAGTGTCCATTTCTGTGGCCCTGAGGGCCCTTCCCCATCCTAGCACTGGGTCACCAGGGGGGCAGGAGGTGCTGTGGGAAGAACAGCACTGCTCCCTAAGAGTTACAAAGGGCACTTGGTTTCTTCCTACAAATGGGCATCAAAGCCAGGCCTGGAAGTGTCCCTGTGCAAGGCAGGGAGGAAGGGGCCGGGCAAGTCGAGCTAAGTCCATGGCCCACCAGCCCCACCGGGGTGCAAACAGAGGGAAGAAGGCCGACCCACCCGGCCACCCTGGCACCAGGCCCTGGGGAATCATCAAGGCCACCCTGACCCACTCAAGACAGTCACTTGCAGCTCCTGGCCTGCGTGTCTGGCCATACCTGGGCACTTTGTGGCCACAAAATTCAAACTGTTTACCATACACAGTGACTCGAGGAGGCAGGAGTCACTGTTAGAAGTGAATTGTTTTATGAAGGAGGGAAGAGAAGCTGTAAACTGTAGCCCCTGAGCCTCGGTTCTTTGCTCTAAAGTGACTTGCTGGGACTTGAATCTGAGGCTCTCACCCCCATCTCTACTCAACACCACCCCCCAGCCTCCCCCAGCTCTGGCTGCTGCCTCCTTGTGAGAAACAGCCCCTGCAATTCAGATGCGGTGGCTCACGCCTGGAATCCCAGCACTTTAGGAGGCCAAGGCAGGCGGTTCACTTGAGCCCAGGAGTTCGAGACTAGCTGGGTCAACGTAGCAAGATCCTGTCTCTACCAAAAAAAAAATTCTTTTTTAAATTAACTGGGCCTGGTGGTACATACCTAAAGTCTTAGGTGTGTGGGAGGATGGCTTGAGCCCAGAAATTTGAGGCTGCAGTGAGCTACGATAGCACCTCTGCGCTCCAGCCTGGGTGACAGAGTGAGACCCTGTCTCCAAAAAGGAAGAAAGAAAAAAGAAACAGCTCGTGCTTTCCGAGAGTTTCCTGGTAGTGAGTGGAGAGAGCTTGTCATAGTAGCAAGAGTCTCTGTGTGTGTTATTCCCCCCACCCAACACCAAGAACAAACAAGGCTGATGAACATTTATGGGAAAGTGAATGGATCTAGTCTACAGATGACTGGGGAGAGCCTAACACCAGCCACTGGGGGCATCGGGGACACAAGAGTGACTAGACACAGCCCCTGCTCTCTTGCAGCTGACGTCACGGGACGAGGGGATCTTCTCCGCTTGTTTCTGCCGGCTGGCCACCTCCCAGCACTCATGAGAGCGCCTGGCACTGTGTGCTCCAAAATGCTGGTTGACAGAAGGCAGGAAATAAGCCGGGGCGCAACAGAGAAACAAGGAGGCCTCTTTTGATGGCTGTTCTGGATTATGGGTCTGGATTCTGGCCTTTAAGTCCTGAGCCAAGTTCTAGGTTCGGATATGGTTCTAGGTTCTGGGACCTAGATTCTAGGCCCAAGGCTGCATGTCCTTAATGCCAAGTTATGGGTTCTGAGCTCCAAGCTCTAGGTTGTAGATTTGGGTTTCCACATTCGGGGCCCCAGGTTCTGGGCTTTGTGTTCTGAGAACTCAATTCTGAGGTCTGGGCTCTGGGTCCCGGTCTTAGAGGTCTTTGTAAGTTCTGAGCTCTCAGCCCCAAGCTGCCAATTCTGGGTTGAAGGGTCCAAGCTCTGGGCTGTATGTTCTGGGCTCTGGTTCCTGAGTTCTGGGGCCTAGAGCTATCGTTCCTGGTTTGGGGATCTAGGCTGCAGGTTCTCAACTCTAAACTCTGGAGTCCAGGGCTGGCTCTGGGTTCTGGATGGACTCTGGGCCAAGCAAGTAGGATGGTTCGCCAGAGGCCAAGTAGAGTTATTATTTATGCTTCATGCCTGGAATGTAAGCTCCTTGAGGACAGATTCTTGTTTGTTTTATTCCCTGCTGTAGCCCCATGCCTACAACCGTGCGTGGCATACAGGAGATGTTCAACAGGATGTGCACACGTGAACACCCCATCGCAGAAACACACAATCCTGCTGTCACGATCTAGGGGCATAGGAGAGAGAACCAACCCTGCCCTCACTGTGGCAACAGCTGGCAAGAAGAGAGGAGGCCTCCTGCCCTAGAGTTGTAGGGGGTGGAGGCCAGGGGGGCCCAGGGCCACTCTGCATCAGGTAGGAAGGAAGCACGTGCCTACCCTGCCAAACCCCGGGCTGGCTCCTGTCTGTACTCAGTGCCAACTTCACAGGGAAAGACAGGAGGGGGTACTGGTGGCACACCAGGGCAGAGTCTGGAGGTCAGAGTCTATCCTGATGGACTGCAGCAGCTGGGACAAGGTGCTGACCATTCCGGTGCTTTGGCCCACCCAGCTCTAAGCGAGGAAGGTGTCAGCAGCCTGGTATTGGAAAAAATTAAAGGAAAATCTCCTGGACCAGGTGCACAGCAGGGCTGTCAAGAAACAAGGATGGTGGCAATCAGAAATACCTGTCCTCAGGGCCCCTGGTGAATAAAGATCCTGTTGGTCAAAGATGATGACAACTAAGGTGAAGAGAAGCCATGGCTGACCAGGGATGTACAATCAGAGTGACTTGTCATTAGGGATGGTGGAGTCAGCCAGAGAAGATGTCTGTCAAACACAACCTGGTCAGGGAGGGGTGTGTAACACACTGGCCATCAGGAGCCAGTGTTCAGGGGTCTTGGTAACCAGAATTATCATTGATCAAATATGTCATCAATCATTGATCAGGGCCATGGGTGGCTTCAGCTGTGAGTAACTGGGAGCATTAGCGGGGAAAGCATTGGGTGTCCATGTCGTTGGTGGCCAAAGATACACGAGATATTAGTGACCAGATTCAATGACTGGAGACATGGGGTCCAGAGATCTTGGTGAAGAGAACCAAATGCAGACCATTAGGGATCAAGGGCACTGGTGAGCAGAGGCATCAATGATTAGAGAATTTGGTGATCAGAGACATTGGTGACTGGGTATTCTGATGACCAGGGATATTGATGATCAGGGAGGTCAGTGATCAGAGGTATAAGGGACTTTGGAAAATGGGGGCATTGGTCAGCAGAGACTTTGAAGAAGATTCAGCAATCACTGATGTTGGGCATCAGAGACATTGGTGATAAGAGATCTTGATGATCAGTGTTGAGCATTCAGGGGTATTGGGAACCAGAAACACTAGTGACTACATTGATAGGAAATTTGATGGGGAGAGGATCCTATGATCAGGGACATTGGTTGTCAGGCACATCGCTGGTTAGAAATAATGGTGATCAGAAACAACTGACCAAGGACATTGTTAAAGAAACACTGGTGATAAGAAACAGTGTGATCAGAGATACTGGAGATCACATGTGAGTGATTGATCTATCACTAGAAAAAAACACTGATCAATTACATTGGTGGTCATACTTATTGATGGCCTAGAACATTAGTGACAAAGCACATTGACGATCAACACATTGGTGAGAAGAGATACTATGATCAGGCATACTACTGGTGAGCAAAGACAGTCACTGGAGACATTCGTGATCACATTTTGTGGGTGTCAGTGATCAAATTCATGGTTGAGCAGAGGCATTGATGAAATATTGGTGATCAGTTGTTAGTCATCAGGTGTCTCTGATGGCAGGCTCTCATGATCAGACATGTCATTGATCTGGAATATCAGTCCTGGTGCCTATCATTGATGACCAACATCACTGATCAAAGATGACAGCAATCAATGACATCAGTGATCACAGACACTGCTGGTCAAGTCAGTCAATGAACAGGAATATTGATGACCAAATATCTCAGAAACCAGAGCTGAGAGGAAGCTCAGCACCTGGAAGGAAGCAAATGGAGATGGAGTTTGTAGGAGCCTCGTTGAGCCCTCAGGGGTGGACCACAGGCTGGAGAAACCACAGCCTCCCTGCGCCTCCCCAGTATCTTCCCATTCACTAGGACCCCTGGTGCAGTGACAGGAAATCCAGATGGGAGCAATTCAGGGGAGGAGCATCAGGACGTCAGTGGCAAAATCAGACCCAGGCCCAACAGGGCCCCATCCTGGATTCCAGGGGCCTTCCCGTCGCAGCCACCCCGCCGACAAGAGCAATGCAATCTGGCTGCCCAAATTCGCACCTGGGACTCGGCACCCTGGGAGCCCACAAGACAGGCCAGGGGCATTCACAAAAAGTATTTTATTATTCTTAACAGTACTCGCTTTAAAGGAATAAGAGGATAGCATACATTTTTTACAGACAATATATAAATGTTGTACATAATTAACAATAACTTAGTTCACTAATCCAAAATAAAACAAGCCAAATAAAACATAAAAACAGAAAATACTGCCGATTCTTTTTCTTATGCGGACACTAGTACAGAATAAGTTACTTCTGGCCTTGGTGCTCCCCGCAGCGACTGCCCATCCATATTGCACTTGGTCACTACATCAGCACAATCCTCCTCCTGGGCCAGGGGCCCCTCGCAGGCCATTACACCCCGCCATCACCGCATACAGAATCTAAGCTCGGGACACATTTATATACAGCTGTACCTTAGGAAGGATCCAGACAGCCACAGCAAAGCTGGACCTGGGACCCCAGCAGGGACACAGCCTCTCCCTGGGTCCTGGTCCTGACCTACCCCCGACTCCTGCCTTCACCCCCTGCCAGGCCAGCAAATGCCAACCAGCCCCCGGAAACCAAGGGCAGTAAAGGCCCCTCCCCATTCCCAGCTTTCATACTAGGGCTGTGGAATCCCAGCTCTTTTCCAAAAACAATTGCAAATCTCCAACCTTGTGTGTAGGGTTTACTCCTTTCATAGCAGGGCTTCTGTGGCTATGTACAATCGACTGGACCCAAAAAGAGTTTAAAAATAAAACAATTAACTCATCAGCGAGTTAAGCTT